TGAGAGTTCTTTTTTTTTTTTTTTTTTTTTTTTTTTTTTTTGTCTTTTGTCTTTTTTCCGTGTCCGGCAACGGATCGCAACCCTCAGTGTTGCCCCCGTACCGGACCGGGGACCGGCAACGGGATCGCAAGCCTCGGTGCTGCTCCCGCGCCTCGCTCAACCAGTGAGCGGGAACCGGTCTATACGTGGGATCCGAACCCTCGGACGGGAGCGCCGCCGCGCTTCCCAAGCGGCGCACTATCCAGTGCGCCACTGGGCCGGCCCGAGAGTTCTTTTGAATTGGGTTCATATATGGTTCAGTTTTGTATCCTTGTGTGTAGATAAGTATTATGTCATCAAATTACATTTGTTCAAAATAATGAGCCTATCACATATCTTTATTTTTCAATTTCTTCTCATCCATAGGGTCACCCTTATATTCACCCTAACATTTTTAAGGAATCAAATGAAAGTAGGAGACTTCTTTATCTTCTTAGAGTTTGATATAGTCATCCAAGGCAAATGTAGCAGTAATTCTTTAGCAATTATATTGTGCAGGGGAAAGCTGGTGGAAAAGAGGGAAGAGGTGAAAGAGTAAGAGAATAATGGAGGATTGAATTTGAAAAGGGTAGTAGAACAATGGCAGAGAGACAGATTAATTTCCATGTGAAATTATCTGGTTTTATGGGAGGTGTCTCCAGTTTTTTAAAGCAAAGTGGGAGAATAAAGTCATAACCCATTTACCTATCTAGAAAGCATTTTTATTTATTTTTACTAAAATTTATCCTGCCAAATGCAATTTTATACAGCTTTTAGATGATTGAACAATATGGGAAACATTAAAAATTTCTGTGTGGATAACTGCCGACTATAAGGTGTGATATTAAACTGGGTGATTCATGGATAATACTTGAAGTATTCATTTTTTTTTAACTGCTGGTTATGTTGGTTGAAATGTGTACTGACCAGGTGGTTGCTGATTTTATTTTTAAAGTCAACTATATTTGAGTTAGCAGAATATAACAGCTGGAAATATTTTACTACTAAAATTGTTTAAGCCAGAAGCCCAAAGATAAAATGTTTTTTGGTTCAGGGAAGATTACATTTTAATTTACAGAGGAACATCTTTAATTGAGAGTACAACAGAAAAGTAGAAAACAGTATTATTTTTGTCAGCATATCAGTGTGAATTTTAAAACAATGATTTCTATTAAAAACAGTATTTTATGTCATAGGACATTTTGTTCAATGAATTATTCTCTTGGGAAAACTCATCTTTTTTCCTATTAATGATAAAAATGAATGGGACACATCATAATGGAATTATTATTAATTCTTTACCAGAAGAGAGAAAAATTACATGATGAAGAAGAAAGAAAAAGTGCGTGGGTTAGCCAAGAGAGACAGAAAACGCTGGATAGACTTCGAACATTTAAACAGGTAATAAAAATATGGTCCTTTTATTGTTTTTTATTGCTTTTAAAATAGAGCTACATATACATTCCTATGCATGATTTCTTTGTATGAGAAAAACTTGGTTTCCCCTTATTTATTTAGAAAATATTATAACCATGGCAGTCCTTTTTTAATTGTTTTGGTTGCATCGCTGTCTTTCCTCTCTTTTTTCCAGAATTAATTCTCTTGTCATCCTTGGCCCACAGCTTCAGTAGTATAAGAGGAATGATCATGGCCTCTGGAAAGCCTGGGTTCCTCTTGAGTTTTATAAAAATAGTTAATTCACTACCGACTACCCAGTTCAAGCATCAGCTTGTTATTCTGAATACATCAACCTGTGGTGGTAATATATGGAAACGACCATTAGCAGAATTAGAGGGTGGATCAACACATGTGAGAAATGCTTGAGCAGTGCTCTTGCCAGGCCAACCCATGACTATGGACACTGATATCACAGCACCTAAACATCTCAGAATCGTGCTTAAGCCTCGTGATTCTAGTTAAAGTGCTCTGTAGCCTTACTTCAGTCATTTGTGCTGAAGGATCAAAGTCCTCTCAGTATTACAATGCAAAAACGGGGTGGGGGAGTGGACATCCTTAACACAAGAAGCAGCCTTGTATTGAGAAAGCGTTTTCTACCAAATGACATTAATGCTAGATTTTACTATAGTAAAACATGAAAGATGAGTGTTCTGTATATCAATCAAAAAATTTTATTCCCTCTCCTGTATTCTATCATAAAATGAATATATTGTTACTAGAGCTTTTTTTAAGTGTCAAGCAACCTGTTTAAAAAGAACATTAATGTTTTAATTTTTTTTATCTGTAAGCATTTAATGAAAATATATAGGAAACTAAAAATAGTTTTTTAGCTTTCTGCATGAGAGTAGTGCATATATTTGACATTGTTTTGTATTTTACATGCTACTGATTTTTTTTCATTTATTTATTTATTTATTATTATTATTTTTGACTGGTAAGGGGATCACAACCCTCGGCATGGTGTGGTCCGCACCACGCTCAGCCAGTGAGCGCACAGGCCATCCCTATATAGGATCCGAGCCCGCGGCCTTGGTGCTCCCAGCACCGCACTCTCCCGAGTGAGCCACGGGGCTGGCCCTGATTTTTTCCATTTAAATTAATAATTTTATTTATTAAATATGTTTTTTTTTTTTTTTTTTTTTTTTTTTTTTTTTTTCCGTGTCCNTAGTAAAACATGAAAGATGAGTGTTCTGTATATCAATCAAAAAATTTTATTCCCTCTCCTGTATTCTATCATAAAATGAATATATTGTTACTAGAGCTTTTTTTAAGTGTCAAGCAACCTGTTTAAAAAGAACATTAATGTTTTAATTTTTTTTATCTGTAAGCATTTAATGAAAATATATAGGAAACTAAAAATAGTTTTTTAGCTTTCTGCATGAGAGTAGTGCATATATTTGACATTGTTTTGTATTTTACATGCTACTGATTTTTTTTCATTTATTTATTTATTTATTATTATTATTTTTGACTGGTAAGGGGATCACAACCCTCGGCATGGTGTGGTCCGCACCACGCTCAGCCAGTGAGCGCACAGGCCATCCCTATATAGGATCCGAGCCCGCGGCCTTGGTGCTCCCAGCACCGCACTCTCCCGAGTGAGCCACGGGGCTGGCCCTGATTTTTTCCATTTAAATTAATAATTTTATTTATTAAATATGTTTTTTTTTTTTTTTTTTTTTGTCTTTTTTCCGTGTCCGGCAACGGATCGCAACCCTCAGTGTTGCCCCCATACCGGACCGGGGACCGGCAACGGGATTGCAAGCCTCGGCGTTGCTCCCGCGCCTCGCTCAGCCAGTGAGCGGGAGCCGGTCTGTATGTGGGATCCGAACCCTCGGACGGGAGCGCCGCCGCGCTTCCCAAGCGGCGCACCATCCAGTGCGCCGCCGGGCCGGCCCTATTAAATATGTTTTAATCATGTAATTTTGAACAGTTGACTTCTTCTTAAGTAGATAAGGGGACAACGCCTTAATAACAGAATTGATAAATAACAAAGGGGTTCGTGATAAAGGTATTAGGTATTGGAATTTTACTTTTCTGTATAATTTTATTCAGGAGTTTTCTCTGAAAATCACAAAACATCCAAAATAACATCTTTTATTTGAAGAAGAAACTAGGCATTTGTTCATAAATTGTTTTAATATAATTAATTATAATAACTTCTGATATTTTAGAGATATCCTGGGCAAGTCATACTTAAATCAACCAGATTACGACTGGCTCATGCAAGAAGAAAAAGTGCAGCAAGTCCTGTGTCCCTTGAGGTCCAGTGTGACTCTCTACCAGAAGTGTTGCAGATAGAAGAGAAAACTGAAGAGATGGGAGAAGGAAGAGGCAAGTTTGGGTCATCACAGACAACAGAACCCCAGAGCCTTGCACAACTTGAAGATACTTCATTAGCACAACTTGAAGCCACTTCATTACCTCTCAGTGGGGTTACCTCTGAACTGCCTCCCACTGTCTCTCTTCCACTTTTGAATAATAATGAACTTGAACCATGTTTTGTTAGCATAGATCCACTCCCACCACCTCTTTATCCATCACCACCTCCTCCCCCACCACCCCCGCCCCCCGCCCTACCGCACATCCCCCATGGCCGGGGAGCAGAGGTTAAT